CTGCCAGAAATAAATATATTTCTATTTGATTTTTTAAACACACAAATAAAACCACAAGGGTAAATGAGTATTCACCTCAAATTATTCAGTACAGGATGTTTTGGTTTGTGATGACACTTCCATTCGGTTTGCCCTGTGATTGATGTCAGAAGTCTTTCAAAACAATAATGTAGAATGCACCACCAGAATCCACCTGAACATTTTTGCAGTTAGCAAGTTGTTTTTGATCAGATGACAGATGGATGATTTTTATCAGATGGTGGCTACGTGCTACTATTGAGAGAACGATTAACAGGCGTTGTATTATTTACTAAACATTTTCGTTATCAGTATTGGGAAATAAGAAAACATATGCAGTGCTAATTCACTTACAGCCACAGAGTTGTTGTTGTTGTTGTTGCTTCACCGGTAAACGTTTTAACCCCTTAGCAGTCCTACAAATTTACAATTAGTCCCCTAAACCATCCAATGTACCGTGGGCGGTACGTCCGACTGCTAACAGGTTAATATGCTAATGATGTTGTGTTGAGGACACCTCCACATAAGGAGTAAACGTAGGCGCCTTGTATTTTATCCTCCTTTTGTTTGTTTTTTTGCTTCTTTAGATGGTGTCAGCTAAAGGCATGTTTCTGATATAAAGAGCCCTGTTACTGAAGTTACAGGAGGCAAAGGAGTTTCCTTGCTTTCATGTTGTGAGAGTGAAACCACAGATATTTTTCTGCTTTCTCCACTCGTGCTAATGTAAATGATTTGCATGGAGTTTGTCCCTGCTGATTAAGGCTGTTTGGACTGTTCTTCTTTGGAACCATGCCAATTGAATTTTCTGCCTTCTAACACGCTTGGAGAGTGGGGAATATGGTTCTCATTGGGGCCTGAGGCTTGATCTCCTTCTAGCCTCCCCCAGTCCTTTCACATCACTCTGACAATTAGTAAGCTCGACCATTCCCAAATGACACACGTAATTAAAGAGTTGGCATTATAATTACAATATGCTTATTGTCTGTTTATGGGTTCTGTGAAGTGCATAATGCACTTGGAGATTTCTTTGGTGTAAATGGATTTAGGGCTCTTAATATACTTGGTGGCAAATGTGATTTCATGTGGTTAACATCTTGAAAAACCTCCTTTATCAGCCCGCTGACAGTTGCTCGGTTTGTCACGCATAAAACACAGTTTTGGCTGAAAGAAAAAGGTGGCACCAGAAAAAAAAAAAAAATTTAGTCATGGGCTTTTAACAGGTACAACAGTAAATGCATGTTAAGTAAATGATGCAATTTATTTCCTTTTTCTCATTGCCAGATTGGCTGCCACGGGACCTCTGCCAGCTTTAAATAAGTGGTACACAGATGGTATTCACATGGTGCCCACTTGGTTACAAAACGGTCCCAGGGAATAAAGCCCTGCCACAACAACCATTAGGTCAGCTGGTGAGCCTGTTGCTTTTGCACTTTGTGTGTACAAATGGGTTAATGTTGTGTCATTGGGCCGAATTCTTTGGTTAGCACGGCTCGTTCTCCGGGCTCCAAAGTGAAATGGAAGATGCACTGGTGAAGGCTGGGATAGAGAAGTAGGAGAGAGATCCTCTCCTCTCCTCTCCTCTCCTCTCCTCTCCTCTCCTCTCCTCTCCTCTCCTCTC